AGTCTTTTCTCTTCGACGCTCCATCATGCTTCATGGCTAAGGCCACTAAGGTACAAACTTCTGATGATGGAAGTGATGAGGAATATGATAATGAAAAAGAAAATGAAAATAAAAGTGATAGTGATGATGATGAACCAACTAAGGATGAACTACTTGACATGCTAGATGATGCTAAAGAACACTTTGACATTAAGAGAAGGGAATGCAAAAGCTTACGTAAGGAACTAAAAGTCCTTAAGCAAGCCTTTGATGAGCTCAATGCATCTCATAAGAGGCTAGAGGAAGCCCATGAGAAGCTTGGCAAGGCTCACAAGAAGCTTGAAAAAGCTCATTCCTCTTTGCTTGATGAGCAAAATAAGAAGAAGCATGTTGAGACATGTAATGTAGGTTTAACTTGTGACTTAATTGATGAATCATTCTATAAGCCTATCAATGTTGCTCCCACTAACCCTTCTTGTAGCACTTCTACTACCACCTCATCTAGTAGTGATGGTTTCACTTCTGATGCCTCACTAATGGTTAAGAATGAGACCCTCAAGAAGGAGGTCAATGAGCTCACTCACACCTTGGCTAAGGCCTATGGTGGTGAGGACCGCTTGCTTATGTGCTTGGGTAGCCAAAGAGCTTCTCTCTACAAAGAGGGATTGGGCTATACCCCCAAGAAAGGCAAGGTGGCCTTTGCTTCTCACAAGACTAGTTTTGTGAAGAACAATGGTCGGTTTTGCACTAGTTGCAAGCAAGTTGGTCATAAAGAGAATAAGTGCAAGAACAAGAGCAAAAATGCTAATGTATCCTCAATTAAGATTGATTCTTTCTATGTGCTTACTAAGGGTATAAATAGTGTAAAAGCTAAGTTCATTGGTACACCATGGATGGGCTCAAGAAAGAAAGTCATTTGGGTGCCAAAGAGCTTGGTCACTAACCTTCAAGGACCCAAGCAAGTTGGGAAACCTAAAAAGAATTGATCTTATTTTGTAGGTCAATTACAAAGCGAAGGAAGGCATTGGGTTCTTGATAGTGGATGCACTCAACACATGACTGATGATGCAAGAATATTCAACTCAATCAATACCAATGGCAATGATGGTTATGATAGTATCACATTTGGTGACAATGGCAAAGGCAAGGTCAAAGGGCTTGGTAAGATTGCAATATCCAATGACATGAGCATATCCAATGTGTTGCTAGTAGAGAGCTTGAACTTCAATTTGCTATCCGTAGCTCAATTGTGTGATCTTGGATTCAAATGCAAATTTGGGGTAGATGATGTAGAGATCATAAGTGTAGATGGCTCTAACTTGATTTTCAAAGGCTTTAGATATGAGAATCTATACTTGGTTGATTTCAATGCTAGTGAAGCTCAACTATCTATATGTTTGTTCACTAAGTCTAGCATGGGTTGGTTATGGCATAGAAGTCTTGGTCATGTTGGAATGAAACAATTGAATATATTGGTTAAGCATGACTTGGTTAGAGGCTTGAAAAATATTGTGTTTGATAAAGATAAGCTTTGTAGCTCTTGTCAAGCCGGCAAACAAATTGAAAACACCCATCCTAAGAAAAGCATGATGGGCACTAGTAAAGCATTTGAGTTGTTGCACATAGATTTGTTTGGGCCAACACAATACACTAGCATCGGTGAAAACAAATATGACTTTGTGATAGTGGATGATTACACTAGATACACATGGGTATTCTTTTTAGTGGATAAGAGTGATGTATTTGCAACATTCAAACCATTTATCAAGGGCATTCACAATGAGTTTGAAACATCCATCAAGAGAGTTAGAAGTGACAATGGTAGTGAGTTCAAGAACACTAGAATTGATGAGCTATTTGATAAATTTGGAATTAGACATAAATTATCGGCCAAGTACACTCCACAATCAAATGGCCTTGTTGAGAGGAAAAATAGAACACTTATTGATATGGCAAGTTCTATGCTTAGTGAGTACAATGTGAGTCAATCTTTTTGGGTGAAGCTATCAACATGGCTTGCTATTGTAGCAAACACCTCTATTGTCACCCATTGAAAGAAAAGACACCATATAAGCTCTTGAATGGTAGAAAGTCCAACATTGCATACTTGAAGAAAGGCACTAGATTGGGCAAGTTTGACAAGAAATGTGATGATAGATTCCTACTTGGTTATTCCACCACAAGCAAAGCATATAGAGTTTGGAATTTGAATAGTGGTACTCTTGAGGAAGTTCATGATGTTGAATTTGATGAAACCAAGGGTTCACAAGAAGAAAATGAAAACTTGGAAGATCTTAGAGGCATTCAACTTTCAAATATCATGAAGAATATGGATGTTGGTGGATTAAGGCCTAGGCAAATGAATGATGATGAAGATGATCAAGTGAAAGTGCTCTCTAATTGAGGCCAAGGCCGCGGGCTCTGTCTCGCCTGACCCCTTGGGTGCGGGCTCCGTCTCGCCCGACCCCAAGGACACGGGTTCCATCTCGCCCAAGGCCGTAGGCTCCATCTCGCCCGACCTCGAGGTCGCAGGCTCCGTCTCGCCCGACCCCTCGGGTACGGGCTCCGTCTCACCCGACCCTAAGGACGCGGTTTGTCTCACCCAAGGTCGCAGGCTCCACCCCGCCTAACCTCGAGGACACGGGTTCCGTCTCGTCCGACGAGGACCCATACCGCCGCCAACCACTCCAGGTCCAAGCGTATGGGCCTGGGTCAAAACTCTGACGCCAGGGAAGAGGGTGGCACGCCTCGATGTAACCCGTGGCCATGACGGGCCATACCTAGGGATTCACATCAAGAACAGTGTCAGGCGTGCCGGTGTTGTTCTGCCTAATCCTCGTACGGACGTTGATAGGCGCGTTAGTTCACCACGATGTCCGCCAGGAAGGAGTGGAACGACATGATCGGCAGATGATGCCTGCGCATGGCGCTAGTGAAGAACAGGGCCGCGACATGGAGCCGTCCCTGTTGACATCTACAGGATCAACGGGACCCGTATGAAGGAGAAGAAGGACCCGGCAACCTTGGAAGCCTTCTTCTCTCTCGTTTTTCTACCTTTTCTCTCTCTGTAACCCGCGCTTTCCCTTCGTTTATAAAAGGGGAAGCATGGCACCCCATGGAGGGGGGATCTGAACACAAGAGCACGACACGAGCACACGGCTGAGCGGCAAGCGAGCCCTTAGCACCCGTTCACTCCTTCCACCAGAGACTTGGGATCATCTCCCTCTCTCGCTTGTTTGTAACCCCTACTGCAAACCAAGTGCTAGTAACACGAGCAGCAGCGAACTGGACGTAGGGACGTTCCGCCTAAACCAATATAAACCATTGTGTCCTCTGAGTACACCATCCAAACCAGACGCGCAAATATAAATTTACTCGTCGGTGGTCCGAAAACACCGACAGGAAGGTGCAGTCTGGCCGACGATGGCGACGCCCTTTGGGTGCCGTTTTCCTCCTTGAGGTATCTGTCGTTGCACCTTCCTTACCTCCCGGCGTGGATCTTCTAGGTGAAAACCTCGTCCCTTCTGGATAGGCAGCGGTGGCGCTGTTTGCGTCGCATTCCTCCTTGGAGGCATTGCCTCTGAAGTCCCATAGCCATGGCGCGCTTGGGGGCTGCTTCCCCCTCTCCTTGGTGCTGCGCTTGGTCATCATTGTCGCTTGTGCTCCTGTCGAGTCATCCGGTTGGCGGTGGATTTTTTTTTGGTGTGCATGTGCGTGCTTCATATCCTTCGTGGCTTCAACGCTTGTGTTTGTCCTACAGTTTGGTCGCTTCTTCGACGGATGCTTGGTCGCTTCCTTTGTCGCTTCGGCGGCGGATGCTTTTGCCGCCGGTGTTTCTGGTTATCACCGAGCGGATACTTTGTCGCAGCAGTTTGCTGGTCGTAGCGGATACTTTGCCACTAACGTCGTGTGCCTCCTTTTCTGGCAGATGCTTGGTCACAGTGGTCTTCTCTCTATCGGATACTTTGCCTCTGTTGTCGTACTGGCTTCCTTGGCGGATGCTTTACCGCCGAGGTTGTTTGGTCCTTTCCCTGGTGGATCTTTGCCGCCACTACTATTGGAGGCCCACCTCGTCGTCGTCGCTCGCTACACTGTAGGCTACCATTGTGTTGTAGTTCTTTTGTCATAGACTCAGTCTATTAGGGTCTTGAGGATGAGGGTCCCTCCCCCTCTGTTTTCTCATGTTGCTCCTTTGTACCTTTGGGACTACTACGGTAATCCTAGGATCAGCTGATGAGTCTCGTGTAATTTTTAAAACTCACCTTGTGCTTAACGAAATAAGTGCAGGGAAAAAAAACAAGCCAAATTGAGCTCCGCTTACGACTTTGAAATTTACCAGCTCCTGGTTGAGGAAACTCTTTACAGAATCTTGCCTTCTTTTTACTGCTACTATGGTTTCAACTAACGTTCTCCAAAAGAAAAAAGTATCCGCAGTACGATCCGCAGTGAGGAATTTGTACTCATCCACCGATCCAAGAGCTGGGCCAAGCGCAAGCAGGACGAGAGGCCAACGCCACCATGCACGGCACGGTTCTTGTCATTATCGCACGAGCAGCGGAAGATTTCGCAGGCCGTGGCGCCGTGCTGTGCTATCAAGGCGTGCCTGCTCTTTATATTTGGCGGCCAGCCAGCCGGACGCACGGAGTCCGGCGGCCGCGCACGATAAAAAGCCTGGCGCTGCATGCCGGGAACGCTGCCGTTTTCCAAGCTTGGCGTGGGGCAAGGCAAGCCGAGAAACCAACCAATTCTGCTCCGCCTGCCACCCACGACGAGCACGAACAGCAACCGCAGCATTCCAGCAGATCGCACGCACGCACGCCTGACGCCCCCAGCTTGTGCTTCCCTCCCTCCCTCCGCCCCTCCCGCGGTCCCGCCCATACACAGCGTCCCCGAAATCTAGCCAGCCACCAGCCACCGCCCACCTCCTCCTCCCCTCCTCTCTCTCTGCCAAGAAAGAAAAGGCGCCACGTTGACATTGCGGATGCCGTAGCGGGCGCGCGCGTGCCAGCCATGCGCTCGTGATGGCCCGGCCGTTCCAGAAGATCGGCCACGGCCTCGAGAGGTTCTCGTTCAGGCGCCGGAGGTCGGCGTCGTCGTCGTCGCCGCTGTCGCTGGCCTCGGACGGCACGGACACCTCCTCGATGGAGGCGCAGGCGCCGGCGCCGGGGCAGCCTTGCACCAGGCGGGCGCTGTCGAGGAGCTGCGGGTCCAAGGGGAGCCGGCTGTCCGTTGACCTTCCGCCGCCGCTGGCCGGCGGCCCTTCGGATAAGGCGGCAGCTGGGAGCTCGTCCTCGCTCGCGGTGCCGCCCAAGCCAGTCCGGCATGAGGGCCCGCCCTCAGGTGACGGTTGTTCTTGGACCATCAACCAACGCTCGTTATGCTGCTGCAAATTGCGAATCTTGCTGAAGAAATGATCCGTTCGCGTTGGTGGGTTGCAGATGCGGAGATCGTGAGGGAGAAGTTCTCCAAGCTGCTGCTGGGGGAGGACATGTCCGGCACCGGCAAAGGGGTGACCTCTGCTCTTGCCCTGTCCAACGCCATCACTAATCTTGCAGGTAATCCCCTTTCCCCCCCTTTGTCCCCAAGAATCCTTTCTTTCCTTATTTTTCTACAGATCAATGATTTCCTTCGGCGGTTCCACAATTTGAGCTTTTGCCCAATTTCTAGTGGAAACCCTGATCAGCTACGCGTTCTTTTCTCGTGATGCCACCTTTTCAGCTTCTGTGTTTGGTGAGCAGCGCCGTCTGCAGCCCATGGCCGCCGACCAGAAATCGCGGTGGAAGAAGGAGATCGACTGGCTTTTGTCCGTCGCCGATCACATTGTTGAATTTGTTCCTTCGCAGCAGGTCGCCGAGAATGGGACCTGCATGGAGGTAAGAAATTCTCCCTATTTCAGTACTTGCTGTTGCTGTAGCAAGTAGCATCCAAGTATTCAGCTTCATTGTCCAATTCGGTTATACAGCATTAAATAACAGTGCGTTAACCGCCTTCAATTGACGCGTTTTCATATCAAACAGATAATGATAACCCAGCAGCGTCAAGATCTACAAATGAACATCCCTGCATTGCGCAAGCTCGATGCAATGCTCCTTGTAAGCATGGGCATGCTCTTATCTTGATCATTTACTGAACAGTTTTGACTTCAGAGGGATATCTGAAGTTCTAACTTTGGCATTGCATATGTCTCCTGTGGAATAGGAATACCTTGACAGTTTCGAGGGTAAGCAGGAGTTTTGGTATGTGAAGAAAGATGCAGATGAATCGGGGAAGGGCAGCATGCCGAGGCAGGACGACAAATGGTGGCTCCCAACTGTCAGGGTCCCTCCTAATGGTCTGTCAGATGCATACAGGAAATGGCTTCAGAACCAGAAGGATCTTGTTGCACAGGTGCTGAAGGCAGCAATGGCTATCAATGCTAATATTCTTATGGAAATGGAGGTTCCTGAATCCTACACGGAGTCCCTACCAAAGGTGATCTATAAGACCAGACTGCTAACCGCCTTGCCGTATTCTGTTTACAACAATTCTAACGATATAACTATATCTTCTGTTGTTATATGTCTGCTAGAATGGGAAGTCCACCCTTGGAGATTCAATGTACAAACTTATAACCGACGATTATTTTGACCCTGAAGAACTTCTACGCTCCGTAGACTTGTTGGATGAACACAACATTGTTGATCTGAAGAACCGAGTCGAAGCCTCAGTAGTCATCTGGCAGAAGAAAATGACCCACAAGGACAGCAAATTGTCGTGGGGGCATAATGTCAGTCACGAGAAGAGGGGAATGTTTGAAGGGAGGGCAGAAAATGTTCTTCTCCTTATCAAGCACAGATTTCCCGGCATCGCCCAGTCGGCTCTAGACATAAGTAAAATCCAATGCAACAAGGTATGGGAAGCATTCACAATTACCTTTGCCTTTTCAGATACCCCACAGTGCTTTGTTTACTCGAATGCCTTGCATACCTCCCTTCTACCCTTTTTTCATCAGGATGTTGGCCTTGCCATTTTGGAGAGTTACTCCAGGACTCTGGAGAGCTTAGCTTTCACAGTCATGTCTCGAATTGAAGATGTTCTCAGCGCGGACTTGGCCACTCAAGATCCCAAGAACGCAGAATCAATGAGAATGGCCAGTTTAACTTCAGACGACACCGACAAGGTTGTCTCGGATGCTAAGGCCGAGGTAGAGAAGATGAGGAGAATGGAGCCAGTTTCGCCGATGCTATACGACTACGTGGGCCCACGGGACCAAGACCTCAGCACATATATCAAGGAGGGTGTTAACGGTCCAAAGCTGACAAAGATGTCATCAGTTGCAAACAAGAGGTTTTCATACCTTGAGAATTTGGGTGGAACAAGAAGCCCAATAGCTAGACACTAGCTGTTATAGGGGGTGTGAGGATAGATGGATCATGCTGCCACAGAGCCTTCGGAAGAAACTTTGTACATAGCACATATGACCAAAGGAGGTGCCAATGTGAGGTCTTGGCATGTTTACATGAACTAATCATAATGTCACACCTAATTTTAAGGATAAAATTGAATGCACTAAACTCATGTGTGCTAGGGATTAGTCACACACACAAGTTGACAAATTAAAAAGTATCATCATGGTGTATCTTATAACACGATTAATAATATCACATAGTCTTATACAACATAGCGAAAAATAAAAATATAACTCTCTCGTGGAAGCTCCAACACAGGGACGGTCAACTGGTTGACCACAAGCCTAATAGTCCTTAGGAAACTCCTCTTACACGTTGTCATCTGTTACCCATCCGGGATTTTTATCCAAATATTAAAAGAAAACAAGCGTAAATACTTCCCGTACTTAACAAGACAATATGGGGTTATGAAGCTCAAAAGGATGACATTGGTTTACTGCAGTTAGCACTTTTAGTAAGTCAAGATTTTATTATCAAGTATTATCAAGTTATGCTTAAGCTCCCTTTTAAACCCACATAATCAGATATCAGAATTATTTGGATCATACTATCATCGTATATCATCATAAGTGAACAACAATAAGTAACCAATTATTCTGTGAATTTTTCGGGCCGCTCGTGACCGTGAGCACGGCTGTTATAACAGTTTATAACCCTCTGCAGAGGTTGTGCACATTCACCGCGAGTCGTGATTCCCATATGCCCGAGTTAATTACTCCCATATCACTACCAAGGTGAGCGGGCAGGGTACACTATGAAGCCATTTCATAGGTTTCTCTAACAAGTTAGGGCCGCTAGGTTTCCTCGGCAGACAGATGTAGGAACCCCCATTTCCTATGGCACATATCCATCGCGGCTATACACATAGGAACAGAGGCAGTCCTATACCCAACGTGGCAAGCCCCTTTTGCGTCATAAAGGTAACCTCTAACAAGCTAGAAAAGGTCCTATTACTGAGCTAAAGTCAGAGCCATATGACCCTCATGGTTGCACTGTCAGTCCCAGCTTTTGTCGACAGATAAGTCCTTATGGAGGGCCGAGAGCATCATGATCTAAAGTCATTCGCTCCTTCGTCCTATAATTCAGTTGTTTAAAAACCAAATTTACCTTTTCGTTCCATAGAACCGTTACTCATTATGTAAATCATGTATAGTTACATTGAGCGCTAGCAAACTACCCATATGCATATAACCCATAGGAGATCAAGGAACAGGATAATCAAACACTAGGATGTCCTTATCGGTATCAAAATTAGACACATGCAAATGAGTAATTAATAAAGGTGAATAGGCATCAAGGTAGAACCCATGCTATACTTGCCTTGGTTAGCAAACTCCTGCTGGTCCTGCTGGTCATCAAAGAACTCTTGATCACCAACGTTCTCCTCACCGTCTGAACACAACCAACACGGCAACATACAACATTCAAAAGGCATTCATGCAAAGCAAACAATCCTATAGTTAGAACAGTACACCAACAGTATAGAAAACAAGATAAAATGTTTCTAAAAAGAATCTACGTCTCGCTACGATCACGTCAACGCGAAGTTCACGAAAAACGGAGCTAAAACGCGAAAGTTATGATTTAAACAGGGTTTCCTATAGCAATTTATTTAATTAAACCTAACCATGAAATTTAAAAGGTGCAAACATGGTTAACAGTGGTACTAACACGTAGATTATGAAATTACGAAACTAACGCAATTTGAACGGGTCGATTCGGAGCTAAAACGAAGTTTTTATGAGCAAAACAAATCCAGTGGCATTTCTGTAATTAGTATGAACTATTTTCGGATTTAAAATAAATAAAAAAGATATTCAGATTTAATCAACTGAGGGACGGCGGGCATAATTTGCTGATAACCGAGGGGCTCTTTAGAAATTTTGCCAGGGCAAAGGGGTATCGGCCTCTCTGGGCCGTTGATCAAGGAATGAGTGGCTCGGATTAGAAAGGGGGAGAGAGAGAAAGAGAGGCGCCGGCCGGAACAGTGCTTCCGGCGGCGGGGCACCATGGCCGGCGGTAAGGAGGTCACCGGCGCGGGCGGGTTGGGGTCTACGGGCCACGGTTCGAAGAACCGAGTGCACTAGGGAAAAGAGGGGGTGCGGGCGAACTCGCCTAGGCCGAGAACGGGGCTGGAGGATGCGGTTGGCGCGGTGGCGACCATGGCCGGCAGCAAGGAGCTCCATAGCGCACTCGAAAACGGCCATACAAGCCACCATATGCCAAGGGAAAAGGTCGGGGAGAGAGAGGAGAGCACGGCGAATCTCACCACGGCGAAAATCAGAGACGGAGGCGGCTCGGGGACGGCGAACCATGTGGAGGGGCGGACGGCGGATCTCGGCGCTGCGGTGCGGCGGTTTCCTCGTGCACGGGCGAACGCGAGAGGGAGCGGGGAGACAACAGAGGGAACGGTGACGGGCTCGGCTCCCTTTTGTAGAGGCCGGGCGCGGGGGGGGCGCTCCCACGACGCGTGACGTGGGCGCGGAGCGGCGGTTGCGCCTTGACTGGCGCTGCGGTTGCGGGAGGTGAGGGACGGCGCTGACGTGTGGGCCCACGTGGTCAGCGACTGAGGGGAGGAGGAGGGCGCGGCAGCAGTTGCCCGAGCTGGGCTGGCGGGGCTGTTGCGGCGGCGGTTGCCAGCTCGCCTGGTTGGGCCGGCCCAGGAGGAGGGGAAAGGAGAAGGCGAGTGGGCCGGCGGAGGGAGTTGGGCCATCAGGCCAGAATGAGGAAGGGAGGGGAAGAAATGAATTTCCTTTTCTTTTTCCAAATCAAATTTCCAATTTCATTTCCAAATGATTTTTGAATCCTTTTGAATTTAAATCAAAACCACTCAACATATTAAATAAAATGCTACAGCATGAGTGCATCAACATGTATCTATCCTTATGATTGATTTTAATTTCACAAAAATTATTATTTTCCTATATTTTAATGCACACATAATTGCATAAATAAATCAAATTTACTATTTTAAAATAATGCATATTTTATGGTGTTACAATTCTACCCCCTAAGATGAATCTCGTCCTCGAGATTTGGAAGACGTCGACAAAAGAGATGCAGATTCTCTGACTTTGGATTCTTCTTTACTTCCTCGTGTAGTTCCATCGTCTCGATAGGGATCCCACTTTACTTTACATACATGTTGATCTTACTCCAAGTAACTTGCCCAATTGATTTCAAGATTCTGATAGGTACCTTGAACAACCCTTAGGTAACTACAATCACTAAGCCACATTTCCTATAATACCAATTCTCTTCAAAATATCCACCTTCCGACGAAGTCCTGACGAATCTCTTGGTCAGAAGGAAATTCTTCTACCAATCTTCAAAACATTAATGTTCCTGGCTAAGTTGCTCGAACTGGGAATATAACTATTAATCCTTGGTGTCACCCGAACCTTCTTAGGATAATTCTCTGTTGCTAAGGCATCGGCCATGACTTTGCTCCTTAAAGTAATAGCACTTGTCCAAGTCGTAATCAATTTTCATTCCAACGAGGATTTCACAAGCTCAAGACCACCTTAGTGAAGATGTCCTGTAGACTCTTATGATCCTCCTATATGTCACTTTTACTTTCAAGAAGATAGTATTGTCATGCTCCGCAATGAATAACTCCAAATCACATGTCAGTTAGTTCAACTCACGCTTCCTTAGTTGACTTAATGAACAAGCCACTTCTTTGGTTACCACCACGCTTCTGCTGCGCAAACTAGAACGTATGATTCTTCATCTTACAAATTCTTCATCTTGGCTACCCCCTTAAGAAAAGATAAACCAGAGGACACCAAAGTATAGCTTGCATCTCCTTCTAGATGAGCTAACTAATATCAAGATGTTCTGTCATCCCATTGATACTCTTGTATATAGGCAAGAACAAGAAATCTAGAATTCTTCACGAGCAGAAAAACAGCAGCGTCGTAAAACGGCTGTAACTCCCATTCTGTTAATCCAATGAAGTTGTATCTTATACCGTTCGAAAGCTTATAAAATTCTCCACAACTTTCTTATAGAACACTTTTCCAAATTCCTCAGTTTTTCTTGGTCGAAAACAGTGCACAACAGAAACTATTCTAGATTCCAAACAGCACAGATGCATCACCTTCTGAATTTCGTATCTCCATAACCAAAATACCTATCAAGGTGATTCTTGCGCTCAGAGAAAGATATTGAAGTCTACTATTGTCCAGAATATTCTCATGATTTTTGGTTGCCCAAGAATAGAGATATAAGCCGAAGAGTGCAGACTGCTCCAAAAAAGATAGAATAGAGGAAACAGAAGAAAACCATAACCCAACTATTTATTGCACTAATCCTTATACCTTAGGCCTATAAGATAAATGAAATTATGGGAACACCCAACAAGATCATTGCATTCATTACAAAGATTTAAAATAATTATAAGCATAATGACAATTCATCAAGCAATAAAGGTGCACTACTCAATCATTAACTTGACTTGCGATACTATCGTCCTTATGATGCTAGGGGTAACAATCCTAAGACTTATCTTCAGATTACGCAAGAAAGTGGTGAGGAACAATTCTAAAGGCATATCAAAACAAGGGGTGAAGATAAGAACAAAGTCTTCAAAATAAGCATCAAGGTAGAGATGAATAACAAGGGTAGAAATATAGTAGAGAAGAAAATATCAAGGTTCATAGAGCAAGGGTTTTTGTAGCAACATCTAAACCTTAAAACGACCAGTTTCTACTAGGCTTACGTCCTACAGTCAACACTGCTCTGATACCAATTTATCACACCCAATTTTAAGGATAAAATTGAATGCATTAAACTCATGTGTGCTCAGAGATCAGTCACACACACAAGTTGACAAATTACAAAAGTATCATCACGGTATATCTTACAACACGATTAATAATATCACATAGTCTTATACAACACAGCAGAAAATAAAAAGATAACTCTCTCGTGGAAACTCCAATACAGGAACGGTCAACTGGTTGACCACAAGCCTAATAGTCCTTAAGAAACTCCTCATACATGTTGTCATCTGTTACCCATTCAGGATTTTTATCCAAATATTGAAAGAAAACAAGCGTAAGTACTTCCCGTACTTAACAAGACAACATGGGGTTATGAAGCTCAAAAGGATGACATTGGTTTACTGCAGTTAGCACTTTTAGTAAGTCAAGATTTTATTATCAAGTATTATCAAGTTATGCTTAAGCTCCCGTTTAAACCCACATAATCAGATATCAGAATCATTTGGATCATACTGTCATCATATATCATCATAAGTGAACAACAATAAGTAACCAATTATTCTGTGAGTTTTCTGGACCGCTCGTGACCGTGAGCACGGCTGTTATAATAGTTTGTAACCCTTTGCAGAGGTTGTGCACATTCACCGCGAGTCATGATTCCCATATGTCTGGGTTAATTACTCCCATATCACTACCAAGGTGAGCGAGCAGGGTACACTATGAAGCCATTTCATAGGTTTTTCTAACAAGTTAGGGCCGCTAGGTTTCCTCGGCAGCCAGATGTAGGAACCCCCCCTTTCCTATGGCACATATCCATCACGACTATACACATAGGAACAGAGGCAGTCCTATACCCAACGTGGCAAGCCCCTTTTACACCATAAAGGTAACCTCTAACAAGCTAGAAAAGGTCCTATTACTGAGCTAAAGTCAGAGCCATATGACCCTTACGGTTGCACTGTCAGTCCCAGCTTTTGCCGACAGATAAGTCCTTATGGAGGGCCGAGAGCATAATGATCGAAAGTCATTCGCTCCTTCACCCTATAATTCATTTGTTTAAAAACCAATTTTACCTTTTCGTTCCATAGAACCGTTACTCATTATGTAAATCATGTATAGTTATTGAGCGTTAGCAAACTAACCATATACATATAACCCATAGGAGATCAAGGAACTGGATAATCAAACACTAGGATGTCCTTACGGGTATCAAAATTAGACACATGCAAATGAGTAATTCATAAAGGTGAATAGGCATTAAGGTAGATCCCATGTTATACTTGTCTTGGTTAGCAAACTCCTGCTGGTCCTGCTGGTCGTCAAAGAACTCTTGATCACCAACGTTCTCCTCACCGTCTGAACACGACCAACACGGCAACATACAACATTCCAAAAGCATTCATGCAAAGCAAACAATCCTATAGTTAGAACAGTACACCAACAGTATAGAAAATAAGATAAAATGTTTCTAAAAAGAATCTATGTCTCGCTACGATCACGTCAACGCGAAGTTCACGAAAAACGGAGCTAAAACGCGAAAGTTATGATTTAAACGGGGTTTCCTATAGCAATTTATTTAATTAAACCTAACCATGAAATTTAAAAGTTGCAAACATGATTAACAGTGGTACTAACACGTAGATTATGAAATTATGAAACTAACGCAATTTGAACGGATCAATTCGGAGCTAAAACGAAGTTTTTATAAGCAAAACAAATCTAGTGGCATTTCTGTAATTAGTATGAACTATTTTCGGATTTAAAATAAATAAAAAGGATATTCAGATTTAATCAACTGAGGGACGGCGGGCATAATTTGCTGATAACCGAGGGGCTCTTTAGAAATTTTGCCAGGGCGAAGGGGTATCGGCCTCTCTAGGCCGTTGATCAAGGAATGAGTGGCTCGAATTAGAAAGGGGGAGAGGGAGAAAGGTAGGCGCCGTAGGAAGAAGCAGTGCTTCAATGGCGGGGCACCATATGGCGGCAAGGAGGAGGTCACTGTGCTGGTTGGGGTCTATAGGCCACTGTTCAAGAACCGAGGCACCCGGGGAAAAAAGAGGGGTGTGGCGAACTCGCCTAGGCCGAGAACGGGGGCCGAAGGATGCGGTTGGCGCGGTGGCGGCCATGGCCGGCAGCAAGGATCTCCATGGCGCACTCGAAAACGGCCATACAAGCCACCATATGCCAAGGGAAAAGGTCGGGGGGAGAGAGGAGAGCACGGCGAATCTCACCACGGCGAAAATCGGAGACGGAGGCGGCTCGGGGATGGTGGACCACGCTGAGGGGCGGACGGCGGATCTCGGCGCTGCGGTGCGGCGGTTTCCTCGGGCACGGACGAACGCGAGAGGGAGCGGGGAGACAGCAGAGGGAGCGGTGACGGGCTCGGCTCCCTTTTGTAGAGGCCGGGCGCGGGGGGGGGGCTTTCCCACGACGCGATGGCGCGGCGATGGGCAGATGGTGCGCTTTGATCAAGGCATGTTGTGGGAGGTGAGGGGGCCAATGACGTGCGGGCGGGCAGTGGTCAAGAATCGAGGGGAGGAGGAGGGCTTGGCGGCAGTTGCCAGTTGAGATGGGTCAGAGAAATTTGTGGGGCGGTTGTCGCCTTCATGCTAAGACCCGACCAAGAGGAAAACAGGAGGAGGGGAAAGGAGAAGGCGAGTGGGCCGGCGGAGGGAGTTGGGCCATCAAGCCAGAATGAGGAAGGGAGGGGAAGAAATGAATTTCCTTTTCTTTTTCCAAATCAAATTTCCAATTTTATTTCTAAATGATTTTTGAATCCTTTTGAATTTAAATCAAAACCACTCAACATATTAAATAAAATGCTACAGCATGAGTGCATCAACATGTATCTATCCTTATGATTGATTTTAATTTCACAAAAAATATTATTTTCCTACATTTTAATGTACACATAATTGCATAAATAAATCAAATTTACTATTTTAAAAGAATGCAGATTTTAGGGTGTTACACATAAGATCATAACTCATGAGCTGGCGCTCAGTGATGGGCCTGTGGGATGTGTACTTGTATTATGATTCAAAAGATAAGGAGGGGAAAAGATTGTATTTTTCTTGTAGCGCCTTGTTCAATTGAGCTTCTCTCTCTTGACAATGCAAGGGGGGTAAACCCCTTATGACTTCCAATATTGTTACAAATTCTAGTCTTTCATATTTACAAAACAACAATAACATATCATTTCTGACAAGATGACAGGGGATGGATACTACTTCACACATCATCACCAGCATCTAATTAAAAAGACATGCTACTTTACAAAACCACAGCAAACGTTTGCCTAACGATAATGTAACATCTAATCGAATAATAAACGCAAAAGTTCTTAAAAGTGCAAGCATTATCACCGAAACCAAGCCCTGGCTTTCATATTCACTTTATTTGATACTTCTATCTTCATTATTCATGACGGCCTCTTCTAATGTTACCCTTGCTGAAAATGCCCTTCTTGAGCGCCTTCCACAAAATTCCATGGAAGACAAAAACAAATATATATATATGCCGGTAGCAATGGCGCCGATTAGTTTGAACGGCAAACGTGACGTCTCTCCGTTACGTCAGAGGAGCAGCGGGTCTGTCAGAGTTTTTTCATGTAGCAGAATAAATAATAATCATCAACAAAGTGAAACACAGTTCAAAATATTCTTGACGTCGACTAGCTGTTGCTTTCTTTGCGTATATATAAGACCCTAGAGACGTCAGATTGATTGTGTTAGACAAGTTGCTGTCTTGCTGACATACGTGAATAAAAAGCACAAAGATTCCCAATCAGCAGGCTGCAAAATTCAAACACAACCGACATCATCAGGAAGACCAAAACACAACTCCTGTAATGTACCAACGATATTTCATTTCACTGCTCCTGCGACCGATTGGAGTGTCTACAAAGAGGATCTTGGAGTTCAAACAGAGTACAAGCTCATCGTCACAAATCTAGAACACAAACTGGTAATATAATCCTCATATACGATAAAGGCTACTCTTCGCCTACAGATCACTCTAATGACAGCTCGAATTCAATGCACACTAGGCTACATGAACTATGAAATTACCCTGCATACTAGTGACTTATTAATGCAGTTGTCTTGCCAATGCACTCCGCCGCGATAAAACGCCGTTGGCATCCCTCAAACTCCTTGTCCTTCTGTACTCGATTTCTGCATCTGAGCAAGAATGGCCAGGAAGAGATTTCTTCCTTACTTCTATGGGTTTTAGAGATATTTCATCTGTTGTCCTTCTGAAAGGATGACCATCTTTCGCAATACCCTCATCCTCAGACTGATGACCTCCTTTTGTTCCTGCCATTTGAGAACAGAAACACAATAAGCATTTGTGGAAACAGAAACACAACAATAGTAGGGGCATAACAAATTTGTTCCTATTAAAATCTGGGTGTACAAATCAGCCTACAATATGTATTTCAAGTCAGCAGATTATTATTTCACACAGTAGCAAGAAAAATCTAATGTTACCTTTGAACACGTCCAAGCGCAGAACTTTATTTGGAGAATCAATGGAAAGTTGGTTTGCTGATTTCTTTGGACTTGTGCCATCTTTAGCGTAGGAACATGATTTATCCACCTTCTGAACCTCATTAGGCAGATCACTAAATGGGCAGATCTCAGTAGCAGGAGCATTGTTTCCAAATGGTGATATACTGAATGACTCATCAACCACATCTGGTATCCCCACATAAGATTGAGATTGGACAATTTCATCGGCACTAAACCCAAATGAAGCTCTGTAAGCTTCAATTTCATCGGGATCTTGCTTCTCCCTCGATACACTAACCCTCCCACCATTATGTGGAAACGTCTGCTGAGCCTGGTCCAGGTAGAATTGAGCAGATGCCGCTGGCCGAAAGAAATTGCTATCTAGCATATAGTTTCTCGGGGTAGATGAATCCAACCCAAAAATATTGGTTGGTGAGGTCCTGGCATATGGTGTGTCACAAGCAGATCTAGAGGTTTTCCACTGTGCAGTGGTTTCTTGCTCAGGAATGGGCGAAGCCCTGAAGTATGGTGTGTCGCAGGCAGACCTAGAGGTCTTCCAATGGGCAGGAGGAACCTCTTGCTCAGGTATAGGTGAGGATAGACCAGTCCTTGGAGTTACTGAAGCCGGTGAGATAAGGCTGCTACAAGGGCTTTCAGGGTAAAGTGGGTAAGATGCCTGGAGTCCTGAACCACCAGAATAGGCTGTTGATAAGAAAGACATGTTATGCTCCTTGCTGGCAGTTTTGATATCCATAGAAGAAGAAAGAAATCTAGCATATGGAACATCTGGAGAAGAAGGTGTAGTTGCATGAGCTAGTTCAGGTGGTGGGGTCAACGGTGCTGTGGATGGCTCAGTTGTGTAAGTTGAGAAGACAGGTGGCGAGACAAGTTGAGGTTCATTAGCATATGGCCCAACAGCGAACATATTAGATGTTGGACCACCAGGAGAGTTTGCAGATACAGACAGAAAGCAATTCGGTGATTGAGCAGTCGAAGGAAGTGCAGAGTTTGAGAAGGATGCTGGTGATGATGGTGGAGCCAGAAGAGATAAATTCATAGGCATATTTTGGTTTGAATTGGCACCAGATTGACCATTTCCACGAGCATTTGATCCATTCCCATCAGAAGTACGTGCTGCAGGAACAATTCTTTTCCCGCCCTTCTGCGATCCGAAACATGATAAGCCTGAAAAGCAGCCAGCCCATCTACTTTGCTGTTTAGAGTAGAGAAGCGTGTGTTAGTCCAAGCAAATAACTTAGCTGTCACCGCAGAAATAGAAAGAAAACACATGACAACAAAATTTCAAAGGAGCAGTAATCTATACTTTAAAAAAGGGCGTACCCAGTGCAGAGAGCTCCCGCTCTGTGCGGGGTCTAGGGAAGGTGTCAGTGGCAAGCCTTACCCTCGCCTGTGCAATGCGAGGAGACCGTGACTCGAACCCGGGACCTTCCGGTCACAGGCGGTAAGACTCTACCACTTACACCAGGCCCGCCCTTTCAGTAATCTATACTTTGTATACAAAAAAAACATTTTTTATTATCATTGTGGGAAGAAAAAATACATAAGAATAAGCATAGAAGGCAATCATGCAATAGAACATACGAAATGTTAGTGTTTCGCAAAAATCCAAATGTATTCACATGGAAAAAGATTTTATCATAAAGCAAGGATTATCCCAGGTGTAAAAGCTATTTTGCCCCTACTTCAACTTCAAATGGGTGCGAGTGTATCGAGAGGTAAAATCAAGAACTTATTAGTATATACATTCTATGGAGGAATGATATCACAAAAGCAAGACAGTGCTCTGGAACTGAAAAAAAAAGGAGTGCAAAACGCGTGTATTACATTACAACGTAAAAAAAGGGCAAACCCAGTGCCGGAGGCTCCCACATGAGTGGGGTCTGGGGAAGGGAAAAACCGAGGCAAGCCTTTCCCCCGTAAATCTGCAGAGATGCTGCTTCGAACCCACGACCTGGTGACTCAGTGAGACAGCTCTTACCACTGCACCAAGCCTGCCCTTCGTATTACATTACAACGTAGCAAAAGCAAAATCCAACTGAGTAAATTATCTGATAGAAGCAACCAAGCATATGAATATAGTCCTGAAGCCAAATTATTGCTGGTAAAGATGCCCAGTTTCAAGATGTAACCACTGCAGGGCAGTACAATTCGTACTGAGTAAGCAAAGGCTGGGCCAAATTGCCAATCTAGGTCGTCAAGGCCTACTAAAAATTCCGGTACTGATCCTGTCATCCACATATCTAAAGCATGCAAGGCAAAAGCTGCAGCTAAAGCACAAGTCCGATCGCATCCGCCCATGGAACAACAAGTGGTGTAGTGTATGTACCCTGTCCTGCTGTAGTAGTTGGGAGTGGAATCTGGCGTCGGCCGAGCCTGCTGCCGTCGCTGCAGCACTGATGGCAGCTGCACCATTCGCCGCCCTGGTGCCGCTGCTGCTCCCAACTGAAGACATCTCTGACTGTATACACACACGGTTGCTCGGGATCAGAGGCGGACCCAGTAAATGGCATGGGTGTACACAAATACAGCCGATAATTTTTGCAAAGAATCGAAATTAGTAGGCATAATGCACGTATGCACCTGTAATTAGATCAGATCCAGCTGCAAATAGCCAAATAGCTTAAGTTAGGGTTTGTGTGCTCGGTTTCGCGCATCTGGAAGGGAAGACAAGAAGTGCGCATACCTGGTGGGTGCTCTTCGCCGGCGATGGTCCCGACGAAGGCCTGGGCACGGTCGGCGCCGGCGGTCGCCCAGTCGTCTCCACGAGAGAGAGAGAGAGAGAGAGAGTGAGAGCGCACGAGGGGTGGTGAACCGGAGAAGAAAAGGCAGGGGGTGAGCATGGGATGGCAATGGGGCGGGTCGGGGCCGGGTGGAGCATCCGCACACCCGCACCCGAAACCCGATACTCAAACCCGCCCTCTTGTGGCTCTCCCTCCTTTCCCGTGGCCGACAAAGGGGCGCGGCCGGCAGCCTGTGCGCTCGCCTTCCCGGCTCGGCGGCGGCATGACCGGGCCGCACGCTTACCTGTTCGGCGCAGCGACGCCGCCAGCCCGTGCGCTCCTGGTGGCAGCGGCTTCACCTGTGAGCGGACGATGTCAGTGACCGGAGACGAAGAAAAGAAGTTGAGGAAAAAATAGTGACAGATCCCCTTCATTTAAGGGACTTAGGAGGGATTTTGAGGGATTAAAAAAAAGTTTAGTAAAAGGGATTGCAAAGGGGATCCGCTAGAGTATGTTTTTTTTTTAATTTAATCCCTTTTATTGCTGGTTATTATAGGGGGAGAATATTAGTTTGCCTCAATCTGGTAGAGATGCTCTCAATCCCATCATTCCAAGAAGTCAACTATTTTTAGCTTAAGAAAAAAAATAATAATTATCGTTAAATATATTTTCATAATCAAACTAAGTCAAAACTTAAGAAAGTTTGACCAGCAATAATTTCATAGCGGCATTTTTTAGGACGGGAGTAAAGTCTAGCAAACTGGTGCTAAACATATAACTCTAGATTTGTTTATTTTAGCAAAAAAATAAAAATTTTAAAATATACATTCTCGCTAAATTATCATAAATTAGTTCTTGTAGTTAATTAGAGGTCGTGGCGAGATCATTAGTCCCAACCACGCCATATATATTGGCATGACTAACTAGACAAGCTGATACGTCTATAAAACATTTTTCACATAAGTCACTAACATTAACATGGCACGGTATTTTTTACATCATGCCCGAGCAGTTGAGTCAAGCTACCACCAATAGTGTAACGCGTATTTGTGTCCCGTTAAGAGCATCTCTAGGAGTTTGGTATAATTTAGTTGCTAAACTAATTGATTTAGCAAGTTAATAAAAGAAATAGCGACCTTATATTTTGTCCTTCTCCAACAGTTTTCTATTTTAACTTTAAAAAACCTAAAGTAGGGTTCACTCTGATTTATTTTCGGATCGGTTTGGAGCTAATCCGTGCACACTGCCGCCGCCCTTTCGTCCCTCCGTGTGTGAGTGCTTTGCCGGGCGCCGGTGACCATCACTAGGCACCGCAAACCTGCACCTGCTGTAACCGCAGAGCATCCTCAGCAATGGCCTGGGCGCCTGGCCATGCATCTGGTTGTTGCTCCATGCCACGGTCAGGCACACAACCGTGAAAACAAGCCTGCAAGGGCGGAGGATAGGTAGTACCAACGGTGTCGGAGTGGAAGGGCAGCGGCGGCGAAATAAAGCCAACAATATATCTCATGGCAAAAACAAACTCTCACATGAGAAGTACCATGAAAACAGGTCCACAGAGGAGCGATAGGGAGTTCTCTCGACTTTGAAAATATATGAGTTGAGAAGGATATTTGACAATTTTTATTTTTAAGGAGCTCACTGTTGGATAAGACTTTTTTTCCTTTTTGCTAAAAAATTAAGATAAGAAATTGTTTTACCAAACTTCTGGAGATGCTCTTAGTTATTAGGTGTTTTTTTTTTTTTTTGAAAAGTTTTGTTTTTTGTCTATCTGGACAAATAATCTACGTGTCTTCAAAATTTTCAAGTATATGCTAGAAAATAAGCACAACTTTGATCGTACGTGCCAACATACTTATTGTAGTTTTGAAATTAAAATTCTTTTTGTAATGCTATATTTGAGTCTTAAGTTAACCTGTTTAGCCTTAAATAAACTCCAAAACTCTGGCAAAATTATCTTAATTTGGTGTTTTAGTACTCAAAATTTATAAAAAAGAACTTGATATTTTACCTCTTGAACTAAGTTAGACTAGTACCAGCTTGAAATTGTGGTTTGCGTATCTCCAAGGATTTCTTTAATTAGGGACTATTCTTTAATTAGCATGGATCACCTTCAGCAAATAGGTATTTTAATTGTGCACTAATTTGTCCTAAAAATCCTAAAACATCAAGTTTTTTTTCGTGACAAAGGGAGTAAGAATGTAAGATGCACTTATTTTGTTGTCAACGATCAACTGATCATTCAAGGACTTTCCAAATAGAAAGCATGCACTTTGAAATATAGTTATGAGGAAAGGATATATATATAGAACGTCAGATGATGATACATAAGAGCTTAATGGTCCTCGCACCAATCAACGAGAATGAAAACGATGGAATGGCCAGTCGTGTAATGAGATAGGTCACAGCTAGCAAGTATAGACAACCTCCACACTCATCATTGATGAATCAACGTATATAATTATGCAAGACAAAAGTGTACAGTCTCAAGATGGGTAATAGTACCTTTTTTTTATAAATGCCTAATAGTACTACTTATTATTTTTTTAGAATTACACGGTACAACATAAATACCCACAATACACGCACACTCACTTCTATGAATCACGTATGTAAACCCTACCTTTATGAGCATCTCCGAATGACTGAGTTGGCAGATCTCGATATTCACGAAGTCACCACAGGCGCATCGCTGTCGATGGGAACGTCGCCTACCACTGAAAGCATAAGCGCCGTTAAATCCTGAAATAAATTCAGGAAAAATACGAGTACCCATGCCAAGTCAATGACTTCAACACAGGTGGACAGGTTCCACCACAAAAGACCCAAGTGTTTTACGCTGTTTTTTTTTTATAAAGTTAAACCCCATTAGATATTTCTCTCAATATGTAGACTATCCACATCAACAATTTACTAGAACTTGCAATTATAGCCAACTAGCACATGTAATTATGATAATTATCTCTTCATCCACTAACATGTATTTAGCTGTCCACATTGATGTGTCAAACCATTCATCAAAATTAATTTAAGATAATTTCATTCATATAACTATAAATATAAATAGTCTAATTTTTTTTAAATTATCTAGAATTTCCGCAACAACGCGTGAGATATTCTCCTGGTATATCCATAAAAAAGAACCGTGTATTGTAAAACCGGCCGAAAATGCCCAGTAGAACGCTCCTTTTAGCGCCCCCCTGCCCGCGTCCTTATCAAAAGAGTAACTCAAATTTGTAATAACTCCCCTAACGATTTTGGAATCTGCTAAAATTGAAACGGGTAGCTTGCAACAATTCATAGTTCAGAAATAATCAATAGCTGAATATACTTGTGTCAATTTTATGTTACAAAGAAAATATACATGTAAGGTGAAACCGTGAAAGAACTTGAACAATTCCCATGTATGTAAGACCAGCTGCTCGTCATGTATGTATCTCGTTTATATGCAAGTATGCAAACACAGCTTGACATCTTTTTAGGAAAAAAAAACAAATCGACCTCCACTTGTGTGGGTTAAGCCACGTTGCAAATAAACGACGACGATGATGATTGCGTGGTGTGGTCAAAAAGGGCAGCAGCTCCTCGCCCCTCCTTTCGCGTGTGCCGATAATGCCCGGGGGCCGCCGGCCGTGGTGGTCTCCACGTGACAGCTTGTTGGTAGTAGCGCCTCTTTTGGTTTCGTCCGTAGACAGTGACGCGGCGCTCGTTCGTAGCTCCCCACCACCGGCAACCTTTCTTCTCCACAGACCACGACATCGTCACGATTGAACATGATGATACGGATAGGCTGTGGATACGAAGGTCATGGGCTGAATGGGTTGTTTGCAACGACGCTCAGCTGCAGTGTAACGATGCTACAAAACGATGTTGGCCTCCAAGCTTTAGGAAGAAGACAACGACATCCTTCGCATCCCTTCTTCAGCATGTTCCCTTAGTATATGACTTGCCTCCTGCTTGTTGCTCTCATTTGTCGATGGAAGAAAGCTGCAAAATTCGGAGTGGAATAAAAGGAGTTCACAAAAGAAAAGAACAGTATTTTTTTTTTTGGTAAAGCATTGCTTGGTCGCTTGAAGGCTCATACGAGGTTCTAGCTTCGAATGGTGAGAAAGGGCTTCACTCAAATCTTTCTAGTTCATATGCAAGAGCTGTATAAAATTTTGGAGCTGTACAACAATAGCTAGCAAGGGGAGTTTTGCATAGCATGTCCCAGGCTCCCAGTTTTTTCTTTGGAGCAACGATCGACAATAATTTGTTGAGCGTATATTAATAGAGAAGAGGCAACATATACAACAATTAATTATAAAACCATCACAACAATACTCCCACCTAAAAATAAATTACGGCTAGAGAACTACCACAACAACGTAGAACTGGCAAAACCACCACAGGTCTAGCAAATAAAAACCGAGCCTGCATGCCACAGCATTATGAAAGAAGGGGTGGCGGTTCCTCTTAGGGCTACTTGGGATATACCCATTCCCCATGTGGAACGATAGATCCAAAGCCCTAAGCGATGCCTCTATGGAGGGAACTGACATCTGTAGACTGTTAACAACACCGATTGGATATCTGGCACACAAGGTTTTCAACCTAAAACCTAAAAGTTGAGGGAACTTCATAGCAATGTCTCCAACAAGGAACATGGCACCAAAGGCGACACTATTGCTGACCTCAATAGGGAGCTGAGCAAGGCCTTTGCCCGATAGTCCACCCACCCCTACCCACACAA